TACTATGATTATTTTATGATTTTTAGTGTTTATGAGCCTCAAAGAAGTATGCTTTGAGGGGAATATAATGGAGCACTGTAGACAGGAGCAGGGATGAAAAGCCCAGTCAAAAACAGCTTCATAAGTGAAAATGGGTAGGCCCAACTGGGACAGAGACACAAGAAGGGTGACTACTAGGGAAGAAAAAAAAAGCAAGAAAAACCACAAGAAGAGATTCTATCATTTTTATTTGGCTTCCAATACCATAATAATCACTTCACAATCTTGGCGGTGTTTGTCTCATGTATTTCCCAGAATAGGAGGGAAATTTTCTTATCCCCTTTTTACAAAGGGAGAACTAAGATACAGAGTGCTTTAATGCTTAGCAGCCTATTTTACTGTGCATTAAAGTGTCACGTAAAAAAGTGTGATTAAGCTAATGCCCATTAAAATAGGCTGCTGTGCATTAAGCATCACTTAAAAACCATTCACATTCATTACTGCGCATTAAGGTAGCCTAATGCACATTTCTTTAATACCTCACACTGGAGGTACTAAATGTAATGTACATTAGAAAAAGTGCCTTAATGCATGTATAGATGCACCCAGAAAGAGACAGTGGCTTGCCTAAGGTCATACAGGGATCTTGGAGAGAGTTGGGAATTGAAGAGAGGTCACCCAGGAGTCCCACATAGTGAAAAGGTACAAGGGCAGCATAATGGACAAGAATGATTGTTCAGAGCCTTAAATACAAGCAGAGAGACATGTACTTAATGCTGAAGTTGACAAGAAGCTTATGAAGGGATTTTCAGAGAACAGCAAGTGTGGACAACTGGGGCATAAGCACTTAAGGGTTCAGTAAAGTGGGGTGCTGCAATGGGAGCAAGAGGCCTTGAGGCTCTGTTTGCATGGAGCAAAGTAGGGTCAGGAATCCCTTTATTTGCCTTTCCCCATGGGAGATGTCATTACTGAGGGTAGAGGTGCCAGGTATTGCCATTGAAAACCATGTTAACCCACCACTGGCTGTGCAGTTGCTGCCAAATTGGCTACCTGCTGCCCACCCCCAGGACAGGCTAGGAGCCAGTCCTTCCCCAGGGCTGGGTCAGCTCCACGGCAGCCCCAGCTCCAGGCCCTTAAAAGCCTGCAGGCAGTCTGGAGCCCAGGAGCAACTACTGCCAGCCTGCCTGCACCCCAGCACTGCTCCCTGGCACCACAGTGCCGCATAGCAGTCAGGGCTGCGCTGTCCACTCCCACAGGGTGCTCCAGGCTCCTGCCAGGTCTGCCAGCACCCAGGTCCAGCTGTAGCCAGCTCCTGGCCACCAGGGCCAGCTTCAGTTACCTGCCGCCCACCCCCAGCAGCCTGCCCGGAGCCTGCAGGTGCTATGGTTCCCTTTCTGTGCGGCTGCTAGTCCAATGCTGTACCCCTGTGCTGGGTGCTTGGTGTGGTGTCCCAGTCATCTGGGAGCCCTGCACCCCCAAGCCTGTGTGCCATGGGCTTGGTGGAAGCACAGGAGACAGGCTGGCCTGTCAGAAGAGAAGGGAGGAAGTGGGTCTGGAGCCATGGCATCAGGTGCTGCCAGGAGCCTGGCTTGACCTGCCATGGGAATGTGACAGGGGAGGCAGACTGCCTGCAGCCATCATGTAGTGGCTTGCTGGCCCCTGAGGAGCAAGTTGGCATGGGGGGGCACCCATGCACACACGACCCCCTCATCTGAGGCTGGGCAGTACATGGCCCCTTGGTACAGAGCATCTTATCTGAGAAATGTACTATATTTTCACAAACAGCTTCTTTCTTATGGCTCTGCAGGTCCTGGAGCTGCACACGGTGGAGAGGCCATAGTTGGTAGCTGGGATGCTCCATCAGTGTCACCTCCACCCTCAGCTGGGGCCCTACAGCTGTGCCAGCTCACTGGAGGAGGACCCAGGACTGGACCCTCCTCCTGGGCAAGCTGTGACAGCCTCAGAAAGCTAGCTGGCAGACATGCGTGCATGGTGGGCAGAGGACATTACCCACAAAGATACACTGGACCAGCGCAAGGAGACATGGTACCGATGCAAGTAGGCGTGGGACCAGGAGTTTTTGGAGCAGCTCCTGGCTCTGAAGGAGTGGCACGTGGTGACCCTAGAGTGGCATACTGTGCTCATGGTCAGGGCAGTGGAAGCCACAAAGAAGGGCTGCCGGGTGCTGGACACCGTCCTAGCTCTGGTGGTCGCCTTTGTACTGCCCACTGCCCTGCCCCCCACTGCAGCCCAACCTGGTCCATGGCAACCACCCACCAGCCAGCTGCATGGGCCTGTGCAGAGGTTAAGTGACCTCCACTAGCCAGGAGCCCCTACCTCAGCCCCTGCCATGGGTCACCCGCCACCCAGCCGTGCCCTGGGCCCAGCCACATTGCTTGCCCCAGCTCAATGGGGGCATGGAACAGGAGCTGCCTGCAGTGGAGACAAAGCCACATGTCAGCCCTGCCAGCCCTGGACACTGGCTGCCAGAGAAGAAGCCACCTGCACCAGGAGACCAGCAGCTGCTGTCACCCCCGGGTGAGCTCCTCGCCCACTAGGCTCACTATCATATGTGTACCCATGAGGAAATGGCCAGAGGCTGGGGTGCTGGCCACCTGTCCCTGGGCTCCATCCCCTAGGTACTCCCACCCCACAGCCTCCCACCCCAGGGTGGGGTACACACACACTATTGTAAATAGTTCACACGGGGAAGAGAGTGTTTTATTAATGGTAGGTGGGGTTGGTGGTGGTGGGGCTCTGTTGTTGGGGAGAGGAGGTGGATGGTCTCTGTTGTTGGGGAAGGGAGGGAGGACCGGGGGGCAGGGGGTAGGGGTGGGAGTCTGTTTCTGTGAGGGGAATAACATGTTTTTCTGAGAGGTGTCTGCTGTGAGCATGGTGATGTGGGTGGGCAGTGGGGCAGGGGTCCATGGGCAGCTGTCCAGGTGGGCTACAGCAGGGAGTACAGGAGCAAGTAGTCAGTCAGTGCCACTCACAACCAATCTCCCGCCCCTGCTGGTGGGCGTGTGCCTCACTCAGGGTCCTCAGTGGGGGAGGCCAGCTGCTTTTGCTGCCACTGCAGGTGGTGTTCCCACTGCCAGGAGTCCTCCACCCACTGTCTCCCCTCCATCCCGGGCTTCACAGGTCTTATGCAGCACACAGGCTACAACTATGACCATGGGGATATTGTCCTTGGCAAACTCAAGGCAGGTGGTGAGGGTGCACCAGCATCCATTCAGCTGGATGGAGGCATCTGCATCCCAAAAGGTCTAGCCCAGGTGCACCTGTTAAGTGGGCCTGGTAGGGGTCCAGCTAGCTGGCAAGGCAGCATTCTGGAAGACACAGGCATTATGAACACTGCCTGCCCAGCCAGCACTCATGTTCATGAAGGTGCCATGGTGGTCAATGATGGCCTGGAGCACAACAGAGTGGAAACCCTGCTGGCTGTAGTAGGGGCAGTCAACATGGGGCAGGCAGGTGCAAGGGACGTGAGTTCCGTTCAGGGCCCCAGTGCAATGGGGACTCCAAGGGCACAGAACCCTGCCACTACTGCCAGGGGGATGTGCACACTGAGCACCATGTGCCCCAGCACATCCCATAGAGTGCTGTACACCTCCAGGACAGCCACCCCAGTGGTGGCCTTGCCCACACCAAAGATATAGCCAACATACCAGAGGCTGGTGGGAGTGGCCAGATTCAGCAGGGTAATGTCCAGTTGGGTGCTTGTGTAGAAGGCAGCCATATGGTGGTGTCCTGCCGCTCTAGGTGTGGGTGGAACTGTTTCTGGAGGTGCTGGAAAGTGGCCTAGGTCATGCAGAATGCCTCCATCCACTGCTCATTATCCCAGGTCTGCTGGTTGGCATGCAGCCACCAGTTCTGGTTAACCTGGTGGGCCCAGAGGCAGTGGGGCAGGAGGCCCAGGAGGACATCAGTGGCCCCAGCAGTGGCATCCAGGAGCATGTTGTTCATGCCTTTGCTTGGATCTGACCACCAGGACAGGGTCCAGGCAGCAGCTGCACAGCAGCAGGGGCCCTGGGCTCGGGTGGTGAGGCCAGCCAGGTGGTTGCTGCACAATGAGGACCTGGCAGGGCCCAGACGGCTATGGGCTAGACAGTGGTCACAGCACCAGGCCAGCAAAGCTGGGGCAGCGGGGAATCTGTTGTTGGGAAAGGAGAGGAGAGTGGGGGTCTGTTTCTGTGAGGGGAATAAAATGTTTTTCAGAGAACCATCAGCAGGGAGCGCAGTGCTGAAAGTGTGTGGCATACTGTTCAGTCAGTGGCTGTCCAGGCAGTCTACAGTGGAGAGTGCAGGAAGAGGTGGCTGGCCAGCACATCTTGCACCTGGTGTTCTGGCCCCTGCTAGTGGGTGTGCATCTTGCCTGAGGCCTCAGCAGGGGGAGGCCCAATGGGAGAAGCAGGGCCAGCACCGTGGCCAGCTGGAGCCTGGGGCACTGGGCATCACTGTCAGGGGTGATAGCTGGAGCAGCTATGTCATGGGGAGGCAGAGGCTGCAGTGATAGAGCTGCTGCATGCTGCCCCTATGCTCTGCATGCTGCTGCTGGCCAGAAAAGCAATGGGCCAGGGAGCAGGACTGCCTTTTAAATACGGCCTCCAGCCACAGGTAGCAGTGACTAGAGACTCCAGCTCCTCCTGGTGGCAGCTGGGGTCCATTGCAGGGTCCCAGGAAATGGGAGCAGTTTGCTGCTAGAAGCAGCAAATCTACTCCTGCTTCTCTGCATGTGCAGATGCCTCTCTGGGAGTGTTTACTCGTGAATAAACTGTTCCTGGATCAAATGTACATGTAGACGTGCCCAGTGAAAACACCGTGCCATGTCACAGCAGAAGTGTGAAAATTCTAAATGTGAGTTATTCTCCTTCTGGGACAGTTTCTCATTCAGCTCTCAAAAGAGACAGGCAACTTGCCCTAACTCATTGTTTGTTTCTTCCTGATGAGACATGTTGCTTTAGATGGTGAAGCAAGCTTCTCTAAGTAAGAGTATGGAGCCAAGGCTTTAGTAGCTGCATATATTTTATTTTTACATTGTTCTGTGGCATCTTCCCGAAAATGTAAAGTAATATAGCCCTATGTCCAGCTGGAGAGCCACTTTTCTTAGCCAGAATAAAATAGTATACTCAGTGGAGGCAGAGATGAAAGTTCATTAATTTCATGGGTTGGTGACCAGGGCCTTTGCCAGGACCTGAATAGCTGGCACAGTGATGAGCATTATCTGTAGAAAGAAATGTCAATTATTTTCTGTTGCTCACTTTCATTTTGTTTTTTTGAAGGTAGAGATTCCCACTACTGTAGTAAAGCAACTGTTTCAGTGAATGAAACATATGGTCTGTGCTAAATCTTGAAAATGTATAAATGAAAAAAGTTAATGCTTGCTGTAATGGCAGATGAAAAAAATGGGGAAAAGTAAAGCATTTGAAGTTCATTTCTAATAGATTTGCTGTTTATTCTTCATCATATGAACTAGCTAACCAAAAGCCAAGACATTTGAAACATAGCAATATTAAAAAATCCAAAAATTCCTGACTTTAATTATGGCCTCAGTAAGAGCTCAGTTTTGTAACATGCAGAATAAAACTGCCAGAATACTATGTTTTTTCAATCTATTAGCTTTCTGAAAATGTTTTAAAACATTTTAGGTCAACTCAAAACAACTTTTTTGAACCAAAAAAACCCAGAAACATGTCATTTCAGGTTGAACAGGTTGAAGAGCTATCCTATGACTGGATATGACATTTAAAATTTTCATATTTGAAATTTTTAAATAAATGGAAGGAAACATCTCTATGACATTCAAATGAAACAAATCAAACTGATTAAGACAGAAATTTTATTTTCACAAAAATGTTTCATTTTGAAAATAAAGCAAAATATTTGAACTTTTTTTGAGAACTTTCTTTTTATTTGCCCTTTTTTTCCCCTCTCATTCATAACAATTTTGCAAAACCAACATGAACTTGCACAGTGTTTTACTATCACCAGATGTGTATTGTTCTCAGGAACGTTTCAGCTGAAAAATGTTGCCCGGCTGAGCATGGGGTGTTCTGGTCGAACTAGCATAGCACTCAATAATACATTTAATTTCAAGTATGTGAGTAGGCTCATTGACTTCAATAGGACTATTCACATGCTTATACTTGCATATACTTAAACAGAATTGAACTCTAAACCTTTCAGGGAGTCTTACATAAAACCAATCCCACCTGGTGACTAAGTATTACAGGGATATCAACTTTTTTTCCTTAGGCCCAATTTTTATGCTAGATATTTAAGGAATTATTTTCCCTAATGCATATGTAAATGCACAAAATAACAAGAGTTAAACCTGGGTGATTTTAAACAGAGAAGCACTAGCTAAAACAAAATTAAAAACCCAATATTGTTAATGCAGCAGTCTGTCACTGTAAACAACTTAAAAGTATTTTTTCATGGGTGAGCTGAGATAAAGAATTCCCAATAGACTCTACTGGGATGACTTGTTTCCCTTGCAGCTGTTTTTAATTTTAGAACCCTTCATTCCCCATAAATTCATTGTAAAAATAATTCATTCTTGAACATATGACTCAAAGAATCAATAGCTTGTGGTTAAATAGAGAGCGCACTAGATACCATCCTTGGTATGTCACATCTTTCATGATACGAAACTTTGTTTTTCAAATGTACAAACTATATTTTGCTGCAGTGGTTTTTGAACAATGTGAGCCTCACTTACACTGGCCACTGATGGCAACTAGAATACCAACAAAAAAGAAATCAATAGTTTCACACAGAATTGTAAGTTAACTCCTAAGCCTGTTGTTCACAGGGTACAAAAATCATTGTTTTACAGTAAACTGTCTCTGCATCAGTAATCAGTTTAAACTAGGGCTTTCTTGCAGCAGAAGAAAAGGAGGGAAAAGTAATGTACATACAAAGGCATTCTGTTTCTGTTGTCACTGTTTGTTTAATGCCATCAAATTCTGCACCCCTGTGGCATAACATCAGATTCCAGGAAAGTGGCTGATTCATTCTTTCTATTTGCTTGAATATTCACATCTATTATTTAGTTTCACCAAATGCAAAAAAAAAAGGAAAAAGAAATTAACAGAAAGCAATTACTCACAGCTAAAATTATACAAGCAAGGAGACAGAAACCAAACAAGAAGAGTTCAGGCCTGACTGTCACTCCAAGAACATGCTGGCTTACATGCAGAAGACTGACTGAGGCACCATGTGCAATGGAAAGAAGAGATGTGCTACCTTACGTTTCCTCTTTCATACTAAGAAGAAGGCATTTACTTTGGCACATGTCCTGAAAATACCATAGTCCCAAAAATGTGAGCCACCCTGTCGCTCAGACTCTTCAGAATTACAAGATCTTGTCATAATCTCCTCACAATGACAGACTGTTTGAGGAAGTGACTTTGGCATTGTCTCCTAGTTCAGATTTCAGAGTGCTAACTTGCTGTGTTTTCTGGAACAAGTTGGTAAACATAAATTGCAGGATTAGTTCTCCAACACATCTGTTGATTTCACTGGGTGCGTCTACATGAGACACTTTACTATGCAGCAGCGCCGTTTACTGTGCAGTAAGCGCATGCATTTACACATGTCCATGCTTACTTTGCAATAAATAACACTACTCACAAGTAAATTTGCTACCCGCAAATGCAAGTAGCAAATATACTGACAAGTAGTTACTGCAGTTACAAGCAGTAACACACGTGTAGACGCCAACTGGGAGAAAATCTGCTCCTGGTCAGCCCTGCCACTAGGGGGCCAGCCTGAAGCTAGCCCCAGGGCTCTGGGTCTGGAAGCTTCTCCTGCCCCAGGGCTGGGCCAGCTCTATGCCTGCCCCAGCCTCAGGCCTTTAAAAGCCTGCAGGCATTTTGAGCCCTGGTGCACATGCAGGCAGCCCAAGGCCACTCCAGGCCCCTGTGTCCCCCTGGACACGCCACAGGCTAGCTGCACCAGACCGCCTGAACCCCAGTACCACTGCCTGGCACTGCAGTGCTGCAGGTGCTGCCCAGGCCTGCAGGCTGCTCCAGGCTCCTGCCAGGTGTGCCAGCACCCAGGCCCAGCTGCAGGCACCCACTGGCCACTGGAGCCAGCTCCAGCTGCCTGCAGTTCAGAGCCTGCAGGTGCTATGGTGCATTGCCTTGCCACGCAGCTGCTTGTCCAATGATGTGCCCCTGCGTTGGGTGCTGCAGGCAGCTGCCCAGCTCTGGAAGCACAAGGACAGCTGCATGGAGTCCCAGAGAACCAATGCAGGAGCCCTGGTGACCTCATTATCACTGATACTAATGCCCACCACCTGGAGCCCCAACTGGTTCCAGGAGGAGACAGGTGACCTTGTGGCACTGTAGGGTGAGGCAGAGGTACAATACCAGTTCATCATCTTATCTCAGAAATGTTGCAAATGATTACAACCAGCTTCTTTCTCATGGCTCTGCAGGTCCTGCAGCTGCACACAAGGGAGAAGCAGCAGTTGGTAGGAAGGATGGTACCTCAGGGTCACCACCACCCTCAGCTGGGACCCTGTGGATATGCCAGCTCTGCCAGAGAAGGACACGGGACAAGACTTCTCCTGGATCGGCTGGTGATAGCATTGGCAGAGTAGCTGGTGGACTCAGTCCTGGTGGGTGGAGGATGTCACCCAGTGGGACACATGGAGCATGGAGCACCTGGCCTGGCAAGATGCATGGTGAGTGGAGGACCTGGCCCATGAGAAGGCATGGGTCCAGGTGTTCAGGGAGCAGCTCCTGACCCTGAAGGAATGACATACAGAGGCCCTGGAGCGACAGACTGTGCTCATAGCCAGGGCCTCCAGCTCTACAGGGTCATGGAGCTAGACTTGCCTCCAGCCAAGCCAGGACTGTGTGTGGGCTCTGCTGGCCCAGGCCACTGGGTGCCAGAGGAGTAGATGGGCACACTGGGACAGCAGCAGCCACCATCATCCCTGGGCAAGCCTCCCACCTACCGGGTTTACCATGGCATGCACACTCACTGGGGGGAATGGCCAATGGCCAGTAGCCAAGGTGCTGGCCACTTGTCCCCAGGCTCAGCCCCCTAGGCACCCCCCATCCCGCAGCTCTCCACCCTGGGAGGGGACACACAAACAAGCACAACAATGTAAATAGCATGGGAAAGAGGATGGTTTATTGTTGGTGGATGCAGTGGGTGGTAGAGTGGCTCTGTTGTTTGGGAGGGAGGGGTAAGGGAGGTCTGTTTTTGGGGAGGGAGTGGGAAGTGGGAGTCTATTTCTGTGAGGGGAATAAAATGTTTTTCAGAGAACTGTCCACAGTGAACATGGTGCTGGTGGCAGACAGTGGGGCAGGGGTCCATGGGTAGCTGTCCAGGCAGGCCACAGTGGGGAGTGCAGGAGGAGTTGATTGGCCAGCACCTCTCACACTTGCTTCTCTGACCCCTGCTTGTGGGTGTGCGACTTGCCCGGGGCCTCAGTGGGGGCAGGCACCAGGGCCAGCAGGGCCAGCACCTTGGCCAGCAGGAGCCCATTGTGATGTCGGAGGTCTTATGGCTAGTGCCACCCATGAGTTAGGTAGCCCCTCCCCTCGTCCCTCCTGCCACGACTTTGCTGGTATATTATTGTGAGAGGGTTCCAGTGGAGTTCTTATTAGAGGGGTTCCCCGACATGGGTGTACTCACAGCTATTGCTTACGATGTTCTGCGGGGCTCCGCCACCCCTACACCCCGTCCACTCACCAACCGATCACGTGCTGGTGGGATGGTGACCTTCGGTCCTCTGCGGGCTTTCCCGCCTTCAACTTCACCAATGCAGTGACTAGGGCTTAGCTGTATAGCTCTGCCAGCCCATCCTCTTTCACTCTGATATTGCTTAGTGTCCTTCCTTCCTAACTTCCCTAGAAATAATATTCCCCTTGGGTAGGGCTGCTCCCAGAGTTGCCTTCACTTACCCAGTGGATTCCAGGGGATTCTGCACCTGTCCCCAGCTCAATTTCTCCTAGGGGCAGTGCTGGCAAATGCAGCGTGCCCTGTCATTGCCCTTGCTTTCCTCCTCTCAAGGGGAGTACTAGCCTCTCCCTGCTTGCTATCTGTTGCAAGGTAGAAAGTTTCCCCTTGCTTTCCTCAGCTCACGGTTTAGAGGCTTCTCCTGCCTCTTGTGCTGGTGTGGCACAGCCGAGCTGGTGCCTTTCCGCAGCAGGAGCCTCAGCACACCAGACGTGCTGTCTGCTCTCTCTCTCTCTCTTTCTCTGGCTCCCCCTCACCTCGGGTGCTGCTGGGGATTTTAAACTTTCCCGCAGCGGCCATATTGGCCGCCACAACTGGCCCAGCTGTTTCCCTTACTGGGAACAGCTGCTTAAATAGCCGGCGTAATGCCAGCTCATGTGGCTCTAGCTGCTGCGGCAGCTGCCGCCGCGGTCTCAGCTCCGGCACCGCCGGGTCTCCCGGAGGTAAATTACCCCCTCCGGGGTTCTGTTCCAGGGTTTTGTCTGCCCCGCAGCCTCTCCTCGCCTCTCCTTGTGCCCATGACGGCAGCACGCTGCTGTCACACCCATGGTACTGGACGTCACTGCCAGGGGCAGAGGCTGGAGCAACCATGGCATGGGGAGGCAAATGCTGAGGCAGGAGAACCACCATCTGCTGCCCACAGGCTCTGCACGCAGCTCCCAGCCACAGTAGCTGGCCAGCGAGAAGAGATGGGGGCTGCCTTTTAAAGATAGCTGCTGGCCACAGGCAGCTGCAGCCAGTGCCTCCAGCTCCTCCTGGTGGTGGCAGGGGCCTGTGGCAGGGCTGCAGGAAGCAGGAGCAGTTTGCAGCTAGGTGCAGCAAATCTGCTCCCACTTCCCTGCACATATAGACACCTGCCCATGAGTATTTACTCTTGAGTAGTTTACTCGAGAATAAACTGCTTCCAGATCAAATGTATGTGCAGATGCGCCCACTGTGTAATACTATTTACATAGGGAAAAGGATGGCTTTTTACCACTTCTAGTTTCATTTTATTCTACCATGAGAATTTATGCATTTCTCAGTCTTTGCTACATAAATTATGCAACTACCAGTAACAAAGCTTCCAGCATAGAAAAGCTCTATGAAAATGGAATGTCTGCAAACTAACCTCACTTAATTGACTGATAGTGGATTCTTCCGTTTGATACAGTAAAGCTGTATTTCTTAATGGCAACATACAATATAGCAGTGTCCTGGATAAATGAAAACTATTTTGTCATCCATAGCTAGTTAAATAAATACAGGAAGATAAATTATATTCTTCCACAATATCTGGATTATATGGAACTGAGTGTGGACTGTGATTTAGTTTGAAATAACTGACATAGCTGATTGCTTTTTAGGGGCAAGAACTGTTCCCAGAAAAGTTTTCAAGTCTTTTAGTTTGTTAGTGGTAAGATCACAAAGAATAATTTATTTTCCTAATAGTCTCTCATGGAAAAGTCTATAATTGTAATATGGATAAAACCAGTAAAATGTAGTAAGTGTCTAGAGTAGTTAGTTTTAAAACCTTTGTTTTAAAATGCTGAATGTAATACAAAACTGTCATTTCTTTTCACATTTTTAACAGAAAGGCCATGAAGATGGAAGTAGCTACTGAAAAAGACAATAGAACGGGCCTGAGAAACTTTACAGCTGCAGTATGTGGGGCTTATTCTACACATTGAGATATTTTCATTTCTGTTAGACACTTGATAATTTTCACACTTACATCATACCACTTAGAAGAAGACTCCTGTAATCAACTAGTCTGTCCAGCTGTCCTCACCTCTTCCTCAGTTCCAAACCTACTTTCCGGCAGCTCTCCTTATAGCACATTTTCCTTTGCCCCGATGTACTCATCCATCCCTGACTACCATAAAGTTCCCTAAAGCTTTGCTGGGCCCCAATGCTTCTCCATGTGTTTTCAACTGCCACTCTTCAATTGTCTGATGTTACGACTGGGCCAGCACATAAAAAGAGACATCATTTGCCCAGATAGTCAGCTGGTTCTGCAAAAAAAGTTTCATACCCTCCATTTTTTTTCATTTATAGAGAATTAGTTTCTTATGCACCTGTTATAA